CGAGCTGCGGGAGACAAACCCGTGCTTCCAAGGCTGGACGCCTTGCGCACATAGTGCTTGTAAGTCCGCGCGCGGCTAGGTTTGGTGGGCCCAAGTTCGCCCCTGCGGATGACAGAAATGTCTGTGGACGCGCTGGGGTATTACAATTTTGGCCTGCTTGCCGGCCAAGGTCCGTGTGACCTGTGTCGCGGCCTGGGGTGCCTGTTTGCCTGTTGCGGCGGTACTTTCTGGTGCTGGGCCTGCGCGGTCAGTTAAACGCCCGTGCGGCCTGTGCTCAGGAGTGGAATTGTAGGTCTGTGTGACCTGTGTGTTCTTGGCCTCACAGCTGAGTGCTGTTTTTTGTGGCAAACATATATTCTTCGGGCCGCTCCAAGCTACTTGCAGTAAGACTTTGAGCGCGCATGTGCGTCGTCAACTGCGTGTGTTTGTATTCGCTTGCTTTGCTTTGTTCTGTTTGCAACGCCGCCGTGCGCCAGCTGGTCAAAACAGCTGCAGGAGGCAGGCGTGCCTGGGGAAGCCGCCGAGGTCGTTGCTCTTGCCTATGCCTCTGACCAGCTATTCTACCACGCTTTTCGCAATGAAGACCGCTTGGACAGCTATGCAAAATCCGTCTTAGTGAAAACTTAGGCCATCAGCCGGGATGATACGGAGTGGGATATACACCCGACAGTGGCAGCCCTCCGTGCAATCTGGAGAAGCATGAAAAGTACCACTTCTGCGTCAGTGCCCGCTCCTGCCGCCGAAAAAGCTGCTACGGACTGTACGGCCCTGGCGCCTTTTCTGCAAGCTTCCTCACGTATGTCTTCGGGAGATCGTGCAAAGCTGGTGGAAAAGTATGAGAATGACTATCCAGGAGTAGGTGTGTGCCCGATGGTTCTCCCCAGCCTCCAGTACTTGCAGCGCATCAAATCTCAGCGCAGCAGCCAGTCATGGGAATGGACTCCGTGGCGAAAAAACATCAGTGAAGCGGCTGCGGTAAAGCTGCACGACAAGAAGAAGCAGAGCAAACCATCAGACGCGTGGGAATATGTCGCTCAGTGCGCCGGGTGGGGTCAGGACGAGCTGGAGGATGTGAGCGCGTCCCCCTTCAAAGTTGAGAAGTTACTATCAGTTCGAGGGCACGCGTACAGTATGATGGGTTGCGGGCATCCACACTCTTGGCATGAATACATCTCCCAGTTCATCAGCTTGTATTCGGAGACCCCGTCGGAGGGCTACAGAATGCCCAATGTGAAAGAAGCAGAGGAGGCGGACCGCCTGGCAATGGGGGGGTTCTTTAAGCTGCTCTTTAAAGGGCACAGGGCTGACGACGCACTCCACACCGTTGTGAAGGAGCGCGACGTTCTCCGTCGTCTGCTGTTCTGCCCGCCTAAGGGGGCCGGCAAAGGCAAGGAGCACGAGCCGCTCCCGCGCAAGACCGGCAAGCGGCAATGGTCGGGCCAGGAAGCTGCTGGGAGACAAGCGGCCAAAAGCCATGTCCCTCTGCAATGGCTACCAGACGAGGAAATGCAAGTTCGGTCCTGCGCGCAAGTTTATTCACCGCTGCGCCAACTGCTTCGAGGAGGGCCATGGCTCCGCGGAGTGCAAAAAGCTGTGACTATCTTCCTCATCGACATCCCCGGAACCTTCAGAGCTGCCAACATGCTATAATCCTGTTGCTGCGTTGCCTGTTGATATGATTTCTGCAGACGTGGAACTTTCTCATTGTTCCCCTCAGATTGACAATTCAGGCGCTAGCAATTTGGAAACAGCTGTTAGGCAAGCCGCACCTTCTTCGTGCAAAAGTGGCTATTACCGACGGTGGCGGCCATGGCAGCTCGGCGGACTGGCTCGTCCCTCGCGAGGCGAAGGACTTTCTGGGGCCGCTACGGCACAGTTCCTGGGCTTAGCTGCAAAGTGGAACTTGGTTGAACGCTTGAGTGCGCATGTGGCCGCTCGCCGTGCAGAGTGCCTCTTCAACACTGAAGAGATATCAATTCTGCGTGAGCAATTGGTGAGTTTCCTTGCCGCGGCCGGTTGCCCTTGCTCCACTACTGTGCGCGAATTTCAGCCTTTCCTGCTTGACGCTTGGCGTAGCTTAGGAAAATTGACCGGGGATATTGATGCTTCTTTGCCTTCTATCCTGGAAGTTGGCGTGCCAACGGGGGTAGTCTCTCCAATAGAGCCCTCGGGTGTCTCCCTCGACCTCATTCTCCAGGACGTGGCAAAGGGCCACGCCTTTGAGCTGCAAGGCGGGGAACAGGAGGCGCGTGAGAGATGGCGGCACCTTGTAGCTGCGGGCAAGCTGGGGGTGTCCCAGCCACCTGGAAAGAAACTCGCCTCATCGGAGATGGATCCATATCCGGATCTAACTCCCGCTCTTGCATCCGGGAAAAAGTCAGCCTGCCCACGCTGGAGTGCCTCCGACGCCTTTTGAGTCTGTTTCCTGCAGATGATGCGTGGCGTGCCTTCAGTTTCGATGCGCGCGGGGCACACAAGCTGGTCCTGGTCCGCGACGACGAGCAAGGGCTGAGCTGCTTCGTGTTGAAGGGTCGATGGTTTGTGTACCGTTCTTGTTACTTCGGTCGCAAGTGGGCTGCGTATTGGTTCAGCAGAGTTGGTGGCTTCCTAGCGCGCCATCTCCATCGATTCATATGGGTTGCTCACGCGTTGCTTCTGTACTCCGACGACGGATTGGAACTATTTCCCTCGCAGGTTGCACCATTGTTGGCTTCGATTTCAGTTATGTTCCTGACAGCGTTAGGAGTTCCCTTGAACTGGGAGAAATTAGCCTTAGGGACCAAGATCCCATGGATAGGATCGCTTTTCGACTTATCTAACCGCTGTGCCTTGCTGCCGGAGGACAAGAGGAGGAAGGCTCTAGAGATTCTCCAGCTGCTCAAGTGTTCAGGGAAAAAATCGAGAAGAAGTTCGTCGAGAAAGCAATCGGGCGGCTGCTGTGGTTCACCGGCGGCCCGCTTTGGCTGCGGCCCTGGCTGCGGGAGTTCTTACTCCTCAAAAAAACGCGCGTTGCTCTCCGCATGCTGACGCCATGTCAGTTCGCCGAGGCCGTTGGGTGCTTGGGCATGAAGATGCTGGTCTTGTCTCCTCCTGCGCAGTCAGATGTATTAGTGGGCTGGAGATTGCATTCCGTGAATAACAGCAAAGTTAAGAGCGTGCAGCGCAATGCTGTTGTACACCCTCGTGTTCGTTCAAATGGGATCTCCACTGTTTGGTACAATTATGACAGCAAATGGACCTCAACTTGCTCCTCCAGTGCAGCTGCCGCCGCGTTACTTTACAAATGCATTGAGGATTGCGTGCTCATCCCCTTGCGCGTGCTACAGCCAGTGGAGGGCATGCGCGCGGCCGATGCCTTTGCCTCCACGTCAAAAGCAGGAATAGGGGGCTGGTGGTGCCCCGGCGCTGTCTTTAAAGCAGACGAAGTCAGATGGTTCAGCACGCAGTTCTCTAAGTCTGATCTTCCCAGCTGGTTGCGAGCAGATTCTTCCACGGGCTTACAAGCCTTTATAGCTTCATTCGAAGCCCTTGCGCAGTTGGTGCTTCTCTTGCTTCGAGACAGGGAGGCCTGCCTTGACCGCCGGCAACCCGTGGTAGTAAGATTCAACCAGTGGCGCGATAACCAGAGCGTATGTTCAGCTACAGGCAAGATGCTCACCAACAAGGCCCCATTGTGCTTCATTCTTCAGGCATTGGGCTACTGGTGCAGTTCCCGAGGGGTGCACTTGCACGTTTCTCACCTGGCCGGTGAGCGAAACGGCTGGGCAGACAGCTTAAGCCGCCAGTCCGTGCCGGACGGCCTGCTTGCATCCATGCGCCGCAGCCTGGACATCCGTGACATCCTATGCCAACCATGGGCTCATCTGCAGTAAAGTTTAAAATGCGAAGGTCGCCAAGGCTGACCAGGCAGCGTGTCACATTGTTTGCTGTTTCAAGTTGGGTCTCAAAGTTTGCCTTGCTTGTCCTTGCATTGCTTTGGTGGCTTCGCCCTTCGGTGGGGGAGCTTGGAGGGGTTGCGTACCCACCGTCGCAATGCGGATCCTGCACCTTTCAGGGGGGGGTGTGGCATGCTGCAGGCAGGGTCTCTGTGGGGGCCCTGTCTGCAGTGTGCAGGCATCCGCATTCATTGAAAAAAGGTGTGTGTGTGTGTGTGTGTGTGCGCGTGTGTGTGTGTGTGTGTGTGTGGTTATGTGTTGCTTGCACGCATGCTTGCTACCTTGTAGTGTTGGTTTGCTTGTACTGGGGTGGGCTGGGATACGGCCAGTGCATGCTCCGAACACTACTTGTTGCTACCTGCATGCTTATTGTACTCGTTGTGCCTCTTTCCAGTGTGTGAATTTGTTGCAGCTGTGTGTTCCAGGCTTTTGCCCTGCTGCAGACAAATTCTGATTCGCCCTCCCTCCCGCCCTACAGTACCTCGGCATCGTTGCAGTGGCCCTGGAGTGGTCAAGTCTTCCATTGGCAACAGGCCCTGGCGTGGTCACGCATATTGCTGCTCTATCCTAGGTCTTCTGCGCCATGCCGCAGTTTTTCAGGTGACTTGTGTGACCTCTTCTGCGGAAGGGGGGTGTGGCATGCTGCAGGCAGGGTCTCTGTGGGGGCCCTGTCTGCAGTGTGCAGGCATCCGCATTCATTGAAAAAAGTTGTGTGTGTGTGTGTGTGGTTATGTGTTGCTTGCGCGCATGCTTGCTACCTTGTAGTGTTGCGCCTTGCGCTTCTCCGGATCGCTTCTCCGTTCCACACCGGAGGAAGAGGAGGAGGAAGCCATGACTTCACGAAGCAAAGTAGTGGAAAGCGAAAAGCGTTTAAAATTACAATAAACCAATGGTCCCAGATCTTGAGTCAAAATGGCAAGGCCATTTTGGCAGTATGTTCCAGACATATGCCTTGCATTCCGCAGGCTACAGCAAGTGAACAATTACAGGAAGCAAAACAAGCATTGTTTGGTTCTCATGTTGGCGGAGTGCGTAGGCATACTTGGATCAAAGAGCATACCCAGCCTCCACCTCCTTCTGCAGCATGTCCCGCTGACGCGTCACTTCATCAACCTGGCTTTGAAGACTGCTGTGCCGCTGTTTTCTCGGCTTTCAACAATGCTCCGACATGCATGGTGCATACAATGAAAGGAGCGCCGACCAATATGGACAGAGGCGTGTCTTAATCTGTCTTGCGACTTGCATTCTTCGTGGGCATGCACACTTCCATTGGTATCCCACGGGGCCTGCGCCTGGAAGTCAGCCTTGGCTTTTGCAAGCTCATTGATCTTGAAGTCCTCAAGCTCCTTCCATGTCAAACGAGTTTTTTCTCCATTGCCGCACCCATCCTCATGCCTGGGCGCACTTCTGCCGAATGTCCCGGACCTTGTGATAGCACTCCTCTTTGACCTCCAGTGTGGCAGGGCATTAGAATCGACCGAAACCAGCAACATCAGCCTTCACGAGTTCCATGTCCAAATCTTTGGCAAAGGTCAGAAGTTCCTCAGACCAGATGCATGAGTGTGCACGCTTGTTAAAGTTCCAGGCTTTGAATCTTCAGTGTCGCGCATCACGCTCTTTCTCAAGGTGTCTGCGTAGGCGCCTTTCCGCGGGGAGGACACCTGGCAACACTACAAACAGCTGCCTCACGACTCACTGCACCCCCAAGCAGCGTGGCAAACAGCAGCGGCACCTATTTCAGAAGCTGGTGCCATGCCTGCAACTTGTTCCGTCTCAAAGGGAAATGCAAAGGCTGCACAGCCTTGCCTGGCTCCTCCTCGGCATCTGGCTCATTACCAGGACCCTCCAGTTCGAGCAGACCTTCAAACAATAGGAGGTGCATCTCTGCAGTCCCTTTTGATGGAAAAAACCTGAGCTCAAATGCGTTTCTGTCGCGCATCAGCCATGGTCTCTGCGGCAAGCAGCCGATCCAGCAACTCAGCCTCAGGGACCGCAGGGCCGCAACCTCTCCAGGGTAAAGATCAGCCCTGGCCTCTCGCCGTCCACTCTCCTGCAGCAGGCGCCGCTGTGATGGCCTTGCTGGGCCGTCGCTTTCCAGGGGAACCACATCCTGCGGCGAGCCAGTCGCATCAAGCTTCGCAAGGGCATGTCTTCTGATCCTGCAGGCCACGTGCATCGGCTCGTAGCTCTTGCGCATCCGCACGGGCCAGGAGCAGGGCCACCTCGCCCTGACAGTGAGGTCTATTATGATCTGACGCTTGGCGCTTTACCAAAGAGGCCTGCCTCACGCAGCTGAGCACCCAGCCTCTCACAACAAGGGCTTCGCACATCATCACGTAGAATACACATATGGCATCCTGTGCGTCCCCCAAATAGGCTTTTTAGGCCTTCGGAGCTCTGATTTCAGTTTGGCCACCTGCCAAGCGAAGGCGAAGTGCAAGCGATACAAACAAGGGTAGGACCAGGTCGCAGTAATACTTTCCCGTTTCTTTTCTATTCTCCAATCTATCTCTATCCAATATTGAAGCTCATACATCCCTAAAGCCTAAATAACAGCTTCCATGTTGAGCCTTTAAAAGGAAAGTTTGGAGCTGTGCGTGGTCTGGCGCCTCGTCTCGGAGCTCTGCGAGCTGCTTAGACATGCGGCGCTTGTCCTTGACTTGCTCATGGGACAAGTTGCCAAGGCTCTCCCAATTGAAGGTTTAGGGCTTTAGGGCAGCTGAGCCGGAATTGGTGGCTTGGCCTCTGGCATCTTCGAGCTCCTCCACCTGGGCCACATGGCATGGCACATGGCATGGCATGTCATGGCATGGGCGGCAAAGTGTGCATCAGTGCAACAACACGTCCCGCGCTTTGTCAGTCAGCCGATGCTTCTCCAGAGTCAAGACCTGAGCAATCGCGTACAAGCCTTGAGATGGATCGCATATCAAAACAGAATGCAGCGATCATGCAATTGCAAGCGCCTTAACCCTCATACGAAGCGTCTTGCACTCAGACCACATCGTCTCAATTGTCCCATCGGAATCTGTGGCCGTTGCCTGCAACTTCTTGGCCTGTGCAGTCTAGTAACACTTCGACCTACGTACCCTACTTTGCTGGCCAATCTGATGAGATTTAGCAAAATCTGATCCTCAATCCAGCGAGAACATGTGCATGCGACTACTCTTGTGTCGACTGCTGTGGCTGGCAATGCGGCCTGATCCTCAGCCGTGCCCTGCGACTCCTCCAGCTCCGCCATGGCGCGCTCATGAGCCGCAAGGAACCTGCACATACCACGCCTGAACCTCAGACCCTTCTGACTATTCTGCCAACTCCCCGGCTTTTCGTACAGACGCTTGTACTCATCTCGGTCAGCTTCAAGAGCAGTTCGCCTTGAATCGAAAGTCATGGTAGCAATGCATAGCCATGCCATTGTTTTGCTGCTCAGATCCGGGCTGCTCTTCCCACTGGCGGGCAGCTTCCTCCAGATCTTCCTGGGTGGCCACCATTTTAGCCTCCAGGTCATTGACCTCAGCGCGCGGAGCGCTAACATGTTGGAAAAACTTCAATCAGTGCTGTGCCATGCTCAGTGGAAAACGCGGGTGACCAAAACATGGTTGCGGCCTGCATCACACTATCACAGCGGCTGCTGACACCGACACCCAGATGACACCTTCGAGTTCGACTGCTCGGGCTCGCTCGCACTGATATCTCCAAGAGACGAGCACATCATCCTCTCAGCTCAGCACTCATTCTTCTTGTGCCAATGCTGATAGCCGCCCCCCCAAAAAACAGTGGTGGAAGGTCGTAGCTTACCCAGCCTTCATCTTCCGCCTGATCGCGTGCGACTGGTTGTTGATTGTGCGCACCAGGTATTCCTGAAACACTTCTCGCAAGGCCCGACTGCGCAACTAACCGCCGCACCATGCATCTCCAGCAGGTGGCTGGGATTTTTCAAAATGCTGATCTTGTGGACGTCCACACCTATGACCATATCAAGAACCTGCAGCAAAGCCTGCAAATGCAACACAAAAACAATCTGTCGCCTTACCCGAATGACACTGCGGACGACAGCTTTTTCGCCAGTAGGTTCAAGACCAACCACAGTGCTGCAATGACTCAGGCTGCAACAACACTGCAAATGCGCAAATCTTCTACAAACTCAGTACTGGTACTATGTCCCAGGAAGCTGCAACTTTACCCAATATCGACCAAGTGAGACGATCAATGTTTGGCCATCTCAGATGTCGGAAGGGTGCTCGCAAGCACTGTAGATCTTGCGCGGCAGGATTCCCTGCTATGAGAACTAAATAGCCAGTGACCTAAATTTATTCACAACCATGCCGTGGAGCACCTGAGGTGACCTCCACAGCTTTTGCGATGAATCGCTCTGCGATCACCGAGAGGTGCGGCCAGAAAGGTGTTGTTTTGCTGGTGAAAGAACATAGGCACTTTCTGTTCGTTTTGACTACGAGCAAGCGCAAACACTCACCGTCAAGGCCAAGCTGCGAGGATGTGGCATGTGGCAGCTGCAGGTTTTAGCAGCGACCCTTGGACAGGTCAGGCTTTTGCACTTCTTCCACATCCATGTGATAGCAGCCCACGCCATGATCGTGACATGGCTGCTTTCGCACGTCAGACCATTGAGGCTTCGAGGAAGAGACGTCGGCATCTCTAAGAAAGGCATGACTTGTGACGCACAAGAACCACAGTAGCATCCAGTTTACGTAAGTTGCACTCGCGCTAGCATAGGCCAACAGTCGCCGCCACATGTGTGCAGAGCATTGCATGCTACGGTCACGGCAGTGCTCCTTGGTTCTACAAATTATACAGCCCGAGCCGTGCCAAGGGGCAGGGCACCACTGCTTGTCTTTGGTCAAGGAACAAAACATAAACAAACCTTCCAAGTCCTTCTTAGCCAGCCTCAACTCCTACGCTAGATCCACACAAGCAAGCAGCGGCTGTCTGGCTGTTCCCTGCAACCCTCCACATCTGGTGTGGCACATTTGCTCTGAGCAGCTCTCCTCACAAACTGCACCAAGCCCAGCTTTAACATCTCCAGGTCAAGGTCATGCGCGTTGCGCGTGAGGAAAAATTCAAATGAGAACTAGCACCACCACATCTCACGCCAAGGTTCTTCGTCAAAAGTCAAAGCTTGAGTTGCATCTGCTGGCATCAGCAGATGTGGCGGTTTTTTTGCACGGCACCGTGAACACAAGCATACTTACAACAGCCCACGAAACGAGGGCCACCAGTCAGTGCGGATTTGGAAAAACTCCTACGGAGCTTTTCGAGAGGCGCTCTCCACAGCGCCCGAAAAATTGCTGGAATCACAATGAACACTAGCAAACCAAACGCTTGAGGGTCACAGACAGTCAGCGGGCTCTTCGGATACTGCGGTTGAACAAACCGCGTCGGAAGCTACCAAGAGCCAGTGAAATCACTTGTCCATGTCAAGTGGTAAATGAATGATCGCATCATGCCTAGGCTCTCAGTCTTCAATGCAGCACGATTCAATCGTGTACAGGCTCAGATTACCTTCACGATGTCCTGCTGGAAAGCATCGGAAGCTGCTGGAAGCCACATATTAGTGACTCAGACCCCGTTCCATGCATACTGGCTATTGCTGTTTTGCACAACAAATGATCCTGCTGTTGAGAATATCAGAACCCTTTTTGCCTCGAAGCTTTCACAACTTCCCATGACCTTGCATGCCCTTTAAGATCGCATGCACCCGCACCTGACATCCGGACGAGGAGCCCACGAGCACACCTCTTGATACTGCAGGGAAGGGTAGGAAAGTGGCAGTGCACAGGACAGTCAGACACACCATGCATGCAACGAGCCTGCTGCACCTTCTGCAGCATGGGCCTCGAATGATAAGAAAAAGGAAGGAATCTGCAGCGCATAGAAGCCACGACATTTCATGGAAAACTCATGAAAGGTCGACAAAAGGCTGTGAGGTCCTGGGAGCCACCTAGATGGACCCTGACCCCAATCTTCATGCCACAAAGGCACAGGGCAAACTGCTGACGCGCAGCAGCGGCAGCCTGTTGCGCATCACAACTGCAGACTGCATGCATGTCAATTCTCTCGGACTGACTAATTCTTGCATGAGGATATGCTCACAAATGAGGGTTGTAGTCTTCAGCACGCAACAGGGTCTGTCCCTTTTGTCTTTCAATTGTGCCTTCACACGAAAACCAGCTGCTCACGCACAAGTGCTCCCATAACACGTCGCAAACGCAGATTCAAGAATGCCGCCCGTCAACAAGCCCCGCTATGCACTAGCCTGCACCTGCAGGTGCTTGCTGGTTACAAGCATCGGAATCCAAAGATCAATACCTGCACTTCCATCATGTGGTCCTGAGCGGTAGCTTCGATAGGAGGGGGCTGGCCATTCAGCAGCGCAAGGACGGCCGTCCTGAGCAAAACTTTGAACTGCGAACTGCGAATTGCGAATTGACCAACTCTCAGATCCAAGGCACTCCATCGGTGGCACGGCCCCCTTCCGTGGCCAGAACCAGGCTTTCCTCAGCCAATGCCGCCAATGCCGCCAATGCCGCAAAGCTGGCTTCTAGCTTTCTGCAGCTCAGTTTCCCCCGGTCTTGCCAGGACATCAGGCCTGGTTGAAGCCAGCACGCTGTCTTGGAATCCTTGGACAAGTGCCTGAACGAGCCCGAAGAATTGCGCAACTCAGGAGCTGTCGCATGTTTCACGTCAAAGTCAGGCCTGCTTGTGGCACTCTTTGCTCGCCTCAGCAATAGACTTGCATAGTATCGCCCGTTCACATCCAACAGTATCTGGAAAGGAGAGCAAACACCACACTGTGCATCTTGCCTCCTGCTTCCATCCCGAAGTCCATGCCGTGATTGCCCCTAATCAGGACAGGCACGCAGAATCGTGCAGCTTAGGGCTAAACAAAGATTGCTTGTCCCAGAAAGTGATGGCACCCCGACCTCTCCAACGCCATCATTGGCTCCTGCAATTTCCCGAAAGCTTGCCATCAGAATCACACCTGATGATGCTGTAGTGACTGTGGTGTGCTGCCTCGTGCAGCTTCAACCTCTCCGCGCTTGCACACTGTCCTCGCTAGCTTGACAGTTTGAGGCACCGGCTACCCTACGTGACAGGATACAACTCTGCAAACCTTTGTCCACACCAAGCCGCGACTTGTAAACTGCGAGGTAGGCACGCAGCACAGGATCATCGACAACTGATCGTGGAGCATCTGCCTGCACGCTGACTCTGCAGCAGTCGCATGGAAGCTTGGCTCTTGAAGCCTCCATCTCTGCCATTGCCGTCAATAGATTCTCTGGAAGGGCAGGTTCGGTCTCCTGAAGAGAACCAATAGAGAGACCGTCTTCATTTAATTCCCTCCACGGTCCCTGGCCTGGCAGCCAGTCGACTGGCACCTGGGCGTGAGATACCGACAGAGCTCACGCCAAATTGTACCTTCGGCTGAGGCCAGCACTCACCGCTCTCCTTCCGCTTAAGAAAGCGACTCCGACGGGACGAGGCTCGAGCACTATGCGCACCTGCAATCCCGAAAACAGCCATTGCTCGCTTCGTCTTGCCGAGAATTCTGTCCCATGCTGCCTTTCTTTGGCTTTGGTGGCTGTGGTTCTCCGCCGGCACGCAGGCGCCACTCACGAGAGGATCCTGATCTGGCAGAATCTCAGGCATCCTCCCCTACCACAGGCTGACCAAATTTGAACAAGCTAGCTAGAGATTCCAGTCCTGTTGGAGGGCCGCCATGCACGATGACCTGATCCAGCGTCATGCACGACAAGGGCAGAAGACGCCCTGAGTTAACTCAGGGCTCCGCGTCTTTGACAAAGCTTTGCTGGTGCTGGCTCCGCAGCTCCTGCTGCGCCTGCCTCAGGCGTTGGAGGTTTTCTTGATGCCTGCAGACACATTCAGGTGTCACACGGAGGTCAGCCTTTGCGTGCTCCCACAGTGGCCGGCCTTTGTTGCAGAAGCTCCACGTCCTTCTTTCGCTCCTGACTCTACCAAGCAGCCACCAATGACAGCACTTCCTGGACGGGCCATCCTCTTCAACGTCGTGAGGGTTGTGAAGCTTGGTCTTTCTTTGTGGGATGGGCGCCACCAATTCTGCCATCAGTGTGTCTGGAGAAGGCGGTGCGGTCCAAGGCTCCTGCAGAGGCTTCGTCTATCAAGCGTATCTTCATAATCTCGGAATCACATCTGCAACGCTGCACTCCATCTCCGCCAGAGTGACGTGAGCCGGACTTTCCTGCAATGTCCGACTGCTTGCATCACAAAAGCCTGCACATGCCCTCGCGGCCTTAAGCTTCGGAGCTGGCCGCTTCTTCTTCGGCGCAACACCGTCTGGCTTCATGGGACTGCGTGTGCCCTGCCTGGACGCATAGCTTGTGTTTGCACAGGATGCAGCTCGCCCATGCTCGCGCATGATGTTGAGCTGGGGACGGAGAATCTTGCGCTTCTTCAGCCGGCGCATTCGCTGCTTCATCGCAGTCTGAAATCAAGCCTCCCATAAAATGACTAAGCATTGCAAACAGAAGAAATCTTCAAAGCCTTTCACAGCCATTGCTTAGGAGCGCTCCTTCCAGATTATCAATTGTTGCCTGGCTGGCAGATGCCTAAGCAAAACGAGCGAATCGCGCAAGCACGAATGAACAAGCTTCATGTGTGGCACATCTCCACATTTAAAAGCAGGTGACGAGTTGGTTAGCCGCTTTGACCACAGAGGAGTGAACCTGCTGCAGCAACGACAACCTTTCATCCTGACTACCGTCCTATGATGCTGACAGCGCCTTCTCCACCATGTTGCGCACGGATGTATGGCTGCCTGGACAACTGAAATCAGGCAAAACTGCTTAGCGTTGACCTCCCC